GATCTACTGGCAAGTTAGGAGCCGCTGTGAAGTAATCAAAAGGCAAACGGATCCAGTGAATCATGTTTATTACAGGACATTATGTTTCCCCTAGGTTTGGAGGGCAGCAACCATCCCCCCAGAAGATACTACTGTGGGGTAATTTTTTGGAGCAAAAACAATATTCTGGATTCCAGAAATTTCTCTCCTAAAATAAACATGTATAATTATTTTAAGAGAACGTGAATCAGGCCCAAGTCCATATGGTGCTGTTACCACACTTCTAAAGACAAAAACATTGAGAAATAAAGCCCCAACCAAGCAGCTCTGACATTTCCGGGATGGAGTGGAGGCTCCCGAGGGCCCCACACCCTGGGACACCCATTCTCTCTACTCCCCACGCCACCGCCCCGCACCACCACTACCTGGCAGATAGGCTCAGTCCCAGCCCTCCACTTCCCCCGAGAGGGGGAAAGAGGCACCGGGCACACAAAGCGTTCAGCCAGAGTTCATGGCGCAAGTGGGACCCCAGGTGGGTGGCTCCACATCCTCCACAGAAAACGGAACACGGGGGCTCTGCTGAGCACCCCAGCCCAGGCCGACGCCATTCTAAGCAGCTGACTCCATGAGAACCAAACGAATTGGCAGCAACCTTCAGAGGTGGGGGTTCTTATTAGTCCCACTGTGGAAACTGGGGCCCAGAGCTAGGAAGCTGTGGATTCAAAGCCAGAGTCTACGCCCTGGACCACTACGCCTGCAGACACATGAACCGGTGTGAACTTCACTCATCGATGCAAATTAAAGGCAGTCTGGTAGGTCCGACAACCTAGCAGGTGGGCGAAGATTTTTAAAAAGTTGATACCACCACTGGCGAGGACTGGCTGGGATGCAGCCATCTGGTAACACCTATCAGCGCCCTGGGGTGCACACCCCTGCACCTCAGCTGGGGGCTAGGAAGCACGGGGAAGGGGCTTCCTTTTCACCATCTGCTTTTTGGTAACTTCAGATTTTTTTTAAAAAAGATTTTATTTATTAGAGAGAGAGCACAAGCAGGGGGAGTGGCAGGCAGAGGGAGAGGGAGAAGCAGACTCCCCACTGAGCAGGGAGCCCGATGCGGGGCTCGATCCCAGGACCCTGGGATCATGACCTGAGCCGAAGGAAGACGCTTGACGACTGAGCTCCCCAGGCGTCCCGGTAACCTTAGATTGTTGATACTGAATGTACGTACTGACTATTCAAACACACACACACACACACACACACACAGAGCACGGGCATGGAAAGGCCTGGAAGGATTCACGTCAAAGGGCAATAGCAGGAGTCTAGTTTGCCTTTGGCAGAACCAGCGTCCCTTCACACGCACGGTCTGCCTTCTTACTGGAATTACAGGGTGAAACGCTTTTCTCCACACATTTCAGGAACTGCAGGCTTGGTGATCAGCAGGCCCACTGGGAGTGGCAAGAAGATTTCTTCAGTCCTACCACCTGTCTGCAAGACTGATTAATGTGTTTGCACGGAGCTCTTCTTTTCCAACAACCTGTAACATGCCCTTTGTATTTCTCCCACTAGTAACAAAGTTCCCCAGAGTCAGCGCCTAGGGACACTTCCTAGCAGAGGTTACTGGCTTGCTTGCTATCAGCAGGGGGAGAGACCAAGGTGCTAGCTACCCTCATGCCACCGCCCTTCTCACTTGAAAGGGTGGGACCCAGAAGGCTGATGGAAGCAGGACGGAAGGTGGGAATCCTAACCTATAATTATTTAATCACATGCTAAAAAGGACATAATCAAACATTTGAGGGCCTGTGTTGGGGCAAGAGAAGGAAAAACCAGAGATGCAAAGAGCAATCGAAGGGGGCCAGTGCTCGGGGGTGAGAGTGCCAACACCGGGAAGCCACGTGACAGCACGGGGGAGCCCGGAGGTGAGGTCTGGCAGGAGACAGGCTGCCAGGAGTGAGGGCAGACACAGCTGCAAGGGCACTTGGCTCAAACCCTGCCTTGTGTTTGGTGGCGTGGAACCTCAAGCCAAGCTGTGCTCTCTCTGTAAAATGTGGGTAAACTGCGATTCACAGGGTGGTCCAGACAATCACGCAAGAGGTCAGGTCAGAGAGACAGAGGGTTGGCAAGCACATCTCCACACCTCACAAGCCCCACCGGGTCCTGGTCCCGGTCCTGAGGCTCTTCAGGTGCCAGATTAAGGGCCCCTTCCCCGGGTGTGGACGAAGGTGGGTTGGCTCCAGGATTTTCATTTCACTATCACCAGCAGACAGCTTTTCAGAGGGTTTCTATCACGGGAGGAATGGGGACTTCTTTTCTGAATCCAACTCATGCTGTCCTCCCCAGAATCCTTAGCCCTCCATCTCTTGGTTGGTCAGAACTTTCTCCCAACCTCCCCCAAAATCTCATGTCAAAATTTCCACTCCCTAGAGGTTTTGCTGATTAGCAGATTTAACTACTTTTCTACAAATGTAAAACCAAATTAAACTCAAATGAAATGCATCAGAGAATGGTCTGAAAGGAGGATTTCTATTGTTTTTTTCTTTTCCAAAGTTTTCATATTTTCTACAAATGTAGGTAAGTCGCTACTGAAGTTACATCAGGCACCTAGATCTAACAGAACACATGGAAAAGGCAAAAATCAAAGACCCAGCAAGTTGAGAACAAATGTTACTATGCAGTCTGACGTGCCCTCACAAATTAAAAGGGATAGCAATAAATAGGCAAAATGGGCTTAGTTAACAATAGGGGTTTCCTCACTTCTCTGTGTTTGAATTGGGGCTCCCAGGTTAACAGAATCTGTGTTATTCAAGTTTAGCCCAAGTAGCTTCTTGAAATGCCAATTTTATAGCTTCCTGGCATTAACCACCCAGGCAGATTCTTTTTTTTTTTTTTTAAGATTTTATTTATTTATTTGAGAGAGAGAGAGAGAGAGCGCACAAGAAGGGAGAGCGGGAGAGGGAGAAGCAGACTCCCTGCCGAGCAGGGAGCCCGATGCGGGACTCGATCCTGGGACTCCAGGATCATGACCTGAGCCGAAGGCAGTCGCTTAACCGACTGAGCCACCCAGGCGCCCCCACCCAGGCAGATTCTATTGGCAATTTGACCTCAGCATTTCAAGCATTCCCAGCGGCTGGGGATTGGTTTTGCCAGCTCTGCACGTCAGAACAGCTCTGGGAGGCTGAAGTGGTTATTTATGCTACCAACTAAGAATACTGCTTCTTCATATTCTAGTTTCCATTTATCAGTCTCCCAGGGGGAAAAAATACATTTAAACTCTATGGCAGTCCCTTGCCCTCTCCACTCTCGTTCCTGCCCCCTGGACACTGGGTCCTTGTGAAACTCAGGGACGACAGGCAGGAAATCCAGAACAGACTTTATAGGAACACTGCTTCCAACAGAAAGAGCTTTACACATTCCAGGGCTTCAAAAATGGTAAGAGTTAACGTCTGGACTTCAGTTCAAGAATGTCTCCATGTCATGTTGGCAAATGCACCATGGCAGTGGAGGATCGTTAACAATGCGGAACACTGGGCATCGGGCATATTGGGACTGTCTGTACTATCTTTGCAACTTTCACGGAAATCTAAAGTTATTCCAAAACAAGAAGTTTGTTTAAAAAGCAAAGGCTATTGGGGTGCCTGGCTGGCTCAGTTGGTGCAGCATGAGACTCTTGATCTCGGGGTTGTGAGTTTGAGCCTGCATTGAGTGTAGAGATTACTTAAGAATGAAATCTTAAAAAAAAAAAAAAAAAAAGCAAAGGCTATTGCTCAGATTGGTAATTAAGATTATTCAGTTATTTATTTATTTTTTTCTTAAGTGCTCAGTAGAGGCCAGAACCCATGCTACAGGTCTGTGGTAGGAGATGATTTTGCTCTGGTCCTACCTCTGGGAGGTTCCCGCAAGTAGAAGACACTCTAACCCTGTGAGATGCAAGGGGAGGGAGCATGTGTCCAGGAGAGCCTCAGTATTAGCATTCCTCAAGTGTGCCCCTACTGTCACCCAAGAGCCCGGGGCTAGGGATAGGGGGGAACCAATGCACGATTGCAAAACTCAACCACTTCAGCAACCAGCACAGCTCCTGGCACGGAGCAGGGACTCATCTACTAGAATGGTGCAGAGGCTGGAGGTTGCATAGGTGGGAGAGGGGCAGCTTGCTCAGGTGAAGCACCTGGAAGAGTTCCCTAGAGGAGGTAAGCCTCCTCTTGAGGCTTGGGTAGGAGTTTAGGAGTGAGGTGGGTGGAAAGAATAACATTCTTGGCAAAGGAAACAACAGGTTAAAGTGTATGATCTGGCTAGAAAGAGGAAGAAGAAATGCAACTCAACAAAAAAGCTTGGGGGTGGGGAAACTGATGTCTTCCAAAGCCATTATCTTTCCAAAATGAAATTACAGCCCCCCCGCCTTTTTTTTCTCCATCCTGGAACTCAGTACATTATCTGGACATCAAAGATGTTAATCAGAGGCAGGCCTGGGGGAGGGGGACCTTACTTAGCAGGTTTCCCAAGCTATGGCTTTTGCAAGCTGTGCTTTAATAAAAGCCTAGTGCTACAAGCAGGGAACTGATACGGAGGACAATTCATTTTAGTCACGATCTTTATGTGGGCAACTTGAAAACATCCCCCTCTTTCAGTAAACATTCCTAGGAGCCTTCTTTTGTCCTCATTTCCCTCCCCGGTCGCAACATTTTTTTTTTTTAAGAGGGAAAAAGCCTATTATCATCAGGCATCTAGTTCATTCTCTCTGTAAATTTTTTCGCGGCTGAAGTGGGGAGGAGACAGGGAAGGGAGGGAAGAAAGGGGGGCAAAATCAAAGATTAGGCTTTGTGGTCTGCTCCAATACGGAGTGAGCCAAATAACAGCAAAAAATCAAATCAGAACAAAAACATCCACAGGTGCGGCCCGCTCGCGCCCCGCCCGCCGGCCCGGACGCCCAACAGGTGCCTCCGGCCCCGCCCGCAGTCTCAGGAGCCTCGGGTCGCCACAAAGTAGCCGCCCGCGCAACAGTGTCCAGGCCCGCCCGTACTCACGGCCGCTCGGCGGTCCGCGCCCCGGCCCGCAGCGCCCATCCGGCCCGGGTCCCGGTCAGCGCGGGCTCGGCTCTCAGGCGGCGCCGGCGCGGCCCGGGACGCGCTGCGGCCGTTGGCGCCTCGGCAGGGCGCGAGGCATCCTCCCGCCGCCGCCCCGCGGGCCGCCTGCCCTTTGTTTTGGAGCCGCGGCCCGGCCGCGCCGCCGTTAACGGCCTCGGAACGCGTCGTCGGCCAATCAGCACGCCGCCCCGCCCGCGCCCCGCCCGCGCCCCGCCCCGCCCGCGCGTTCCCTCCCCGCGCGCTCCGCGCCCCGGAGCTCGACCGGCTCTCACTCGGCCGGGCTGGGCGGGGGCGCACGTGCCGCGGGGCGCGCCGCGCTCCCATTGGTCGGCCTGCCGAGCGCGGCCTCGGAGCCAGCCTATGAGAGTTGAAAGGCTCGGGGGCGGGGCCCCTGGGGCGGGGCGGGGCGTGGGGCGGGCTCAAAGAGGATCGCAGTGCGCAAGCGCGGGATGGCCCGCACTGGGGCTGTCAGCCCACCGTCTTCGCCCGCAGGCTTACCCCGCAGTGGGAAACCCGCGGGTCACTCGTTCTCTCCGCAAGCCTGGATCGGCCGAGGGACGCCAGGCCCACAGCTTCCGGGGCCGAAGCGGGGCTCATGGGCCGGCCGTGCGCGGGACTTGGGTTTCCCTGGCCGGACCACTCGCAGACTCGGTCCCCAGAATATGGGGTTCTCCGTGCTCGCCCACTCCGACCATCCTCCCCGAACTCTCCAAGCCGCTCCACCTGAGAACCTCTGTATCTGCATCTGGCTCTCCTCTGCTCCAGAACCCCCAAATCGGACTCGATAGGAAGCTCCATTCTCCGGGGGCCCTCCCGGCCCCCCAGGCAGATCGTCCCATCTTTACGTCCACACTCCGTTCCCCCCCACGACTCTCATGTCATTATTTTGTTGGTCCCACAGCTTTCCTTTATAGGTTGTTTCTTAAATTACATCATTTTTTAGAAACCACAGTGTTGAGGTCACAATGTATGTAACATTTTTATACATGTTAGCATCCTTTAGATCTTGTTTCTTGTTTGCAATGCAGTGTATCTGTAAAGATCTCTCAGCGTCTTTGGATATGCATCTGATTTATTACTGTACTTAGAAGGTCTTTGGATATTGTCCATTTGTCAGAACTTAGCCATTTTCCTAGCAATGTCTCCAACTCTCCTTTTACAAACCTGGCTGCAAAGTAGGAACTCATGATCGTTTTTAAGATGAGTTTTTCAGATGAGTGTTAGCATCTCTTAATTATTAAGCCTTTCATATCTTCAATTTCCAACTTTCAGATCTTCAGTTTCCAACTGGGGTTAGGGGAGTTCCTTTCTCTTGTGAATTTTAGAGATTCCTTAGATTGTCTTAAATATCAAGCTTTTATTGTTTTTGCTACCGCAAATATCTTTTCTCAGCCAGTCCTCTGTTGAAAAAAAATCCTAATTTTTTATGTGATTCAAATATAATTTTGTATCCTGCTTTGAGAAGGGGCGTTTTTCCCTTATTGCAGTTTTTAATGAATGATTTTAGTGGCTGCAGATAATATTAAATTAACATACCCAAATAACTATGTGGTGGTTAGGCACATCAATGATTTCTGCTCCGTTTCTTTGGATTCCTTCATTCTTTGAAAAATTTAGCACCAGTTTTCCTATTGTTCTTTGCATTGTGGTTCCTAGCTTCATTCTTAGAAAACACATCTTTCCCTTAGAATCTAAGGAATTGATGTATGTGAATCACGGAGGATCCTTCCAGTGCCCTGGCCGGTCAGCTCACTGTCCCCTCTCCTGCAAGGATCTTGTCCCTCATGACCCCTAAGATGGACCCCCTTCCTGATCACTGACCAGTGCCTTTCAAATGTTTTAAACTATGACCACAGTAAAGAATACATTTTATGGGTTCAAAGTTTCTATTTGGGGTGATGAGAAATCTGGGGGATAGTGTGGATGATTGCACAACAGCATAAATGTACCTAATGCCACTGTGGCTTCATACACTTAAGAACAGTTAAAATTGCAAATTTTAAGCTTTAAAAACCCATTTTGGGGGTGGGGGGGTGGGTTAGCCTGGTGATGGGTATTGAGGACATGTATTAAATGGAGCAGTGGGTGTTATACGCAAACAATGAATCATGGAACACTACATCAAAAACTAATGATGTACTGTATGGTAACTAACATAATAAAATTAAATTAAATTTTAAAAACCCTAATTTTACATTATGATCTAGTACACATACATGAGAAAAGTTTCATGATTTAATACATACTCTTGTCTTGTGTAATGCCCTAATATTGTCTATCCTTTTCAGTTTTATTTTATTGACATCCTGCACATGACTCTCTATGTGATTTCATGAGGCATCTATCAACCATGGCCTGCGGCCGGCCACCCACTGCCTGGTCCCTGTTGTCACCACCCTCCATAAGCTCAGTTTCAAACAGCCCACTCTGGGCCACCACTGGGCGCTCTGGCCCCCTCCTGTTAGCAGGACCACAGCTGTCATTACCTGCACTGGGAGCCACACAACTCACTGTCCTCACCACCTACCTACCTGGAGGCTGTCCTCCTCCCTCTGTTCACCTCCCTTTAGCACCTTTCTCACATCACAGACTTGCCCAGCGAACTCTGGTCCTGGGTAAATGTGACTCTCTCTGCTATGTCTGGAGAAATTCTTTCCCTTAGGGAGACTAGTTTCTATAACAGTCCTTGTGGCAACCCTACACCTGCTCCACCTGTTGTGGCAATTCAGATTCCCACCTTCCGGGAAGATGATTCCACACCTCCCCCTGCCCTCTGCCTGTACTAGCTCTGTGTCCTACTTTACTGAAGACGTCAACATCAGCAGGAGAACGTTCCTTGCTGCTTCCACACTAAACCTTCCACCCACCCACCCCCACCACCATGCACACATTGCTCTGTCCTCTAAGACCTGCATGTCACTTGCACGTGGGGCCCACCCCCCTGCATGCTGGCCAGTCGGCTTCAGTCACAGCGCCCTCTTTCTCCTGCGTCCTCAATCCCCACATTATTGGGCTGTCCCATCAGGATAGGAGACACAGTGTCATCTCCGTATCCACATTCTCCATCACCACGCTTCTCTCCAATTCTTCAAGAGCAAGATTGCTCAGGAGCAGCTGAGCTGGGCTCCTCCCACTCTCGGGCTCCCTCCACAACCGCTCCACCTGTTCCTTGCCAGAATTCATGTCTGCGTTCAGCCATGTCTCACGGGTGGTCAAGCAGCACTCTGTACAACCTGATGCCTCCCAGGGTGTGCCTCAGCATGGACCCGCATCCCCCAAATCCCAGGTTTCCAAGTCCATCTACCTACTCTGAACCACCCTTGGAGCTCTAGGAGACACCTCAAAGCCAGTGTGCCCTAAATCAAGCTACAGCTCTTACCACCTCAGTAAAAGGCACAGCCAAATTTCCAGCCCAGCCAAAACCTCCGAGCCCCTCACCTCGGCTCTCCTCATCATGCCCCACAACGGCCCCTCAGCGGCCCCTCTCCTGCCACCAGCACCCAGCCCCTGGGCCACTCTCCTCTCTCATGTTGATGACTGCCACAGGTGAGCAGCAAGGGTTGCCTCCTTTCCTCTTCACACATTGACTCTTTGAGAACAAAAGCCAGATCTGTCACCCCTCAAAAGCCTCCAGGAGCTTTCCATTGTGCCAGACTAAGAAAACAGAGTCCTTCCAATGCCCCCCCAAGACTTGGCACCTCCCCGTCCCTCCTGATTTCCTACTTCTATCCCTGCATTTGACCAACTACATTTGGGGGGGACCAGTCCGCACAGGACCACCTCCACTTCTGACACCAACGGCAGGTTTGGGAGTCCCCAAGCTGACCCTTAGTTAAGGTTGACAGCTTCCTGGAGGGACTCACAGAGAGCTGTTTACTCACGGTTACAGTTTACAGCAGAGGAAGGATGCAGATTAAGACCAGCTGCAGGAAAAGCACCCGGGGGAGAGTCTAGGGCAGTGCCACACTTGAGCTGTCAGCTGCCTCCGTCCTTGGAGCTGCACGCAAGCCTCCTCTCCGGCACCCATGAGGGACAGCCCGCACAGTGTGGCCAACAGGGAGACTCCTCAGAGCCCGGTGCTCAGAGCTTTTATTGGTGTTCATCACACAGGTGTGATTAATTGAGTGTCCTCCTCGCGATCTCAGTCTGCAGCCCCTCATCACAATGCTGGTCTTTCTTGTGTGCTCAGCTCCAGCCTGAATATCATCTGGCGCCGTGCCCCTACTTGAAATCACATTGTTAGGCTATTGCAAGGCCCCCAGGCCAACAGGCACTCCTGGTAGAGCTTGGTAACTGCCTCCCAAAAGCAGAAGGCAAAAGCCACTCTTTGGGGGTGAGTTTAAATTCTTTCCTACAACCTCCCTTTGCTTACTATTCCTCAGACACACCACCCCCGTGCTGCCCCTTCTAGGGGACTCTGTGCTTGCTGTCCCTTCCCCTGGAAGGTCCCTCTTTCTTCAGGATTCTGCTCAAATGCATCCTCACCAGAGAAGCGGTCTCATCCAGGCCCTGCGGACCAGGGGCTCTGGCCCACCATTCCCTCTCCCTCCTCACCCAGCTTTGGCTTTCCTCCTTAACAGCCCCCCCAACATCACCACAACTGGTCTGTGTTTTCCTCTGTTTGGTTCATCATCCAGCTCCTCTCACCAGTATGTGAGCCACCTGAGGGCAGGGTTTTGGTTTGTCCTCAGCTGTATCTGCAGTGCTTGGGACATAATTTGCTGAATGAGCCACTCCTGCAGGACGACTGAAGGGCAAACGAGCCCTAAGACGCCCAGCTCTTGCCCCTGGGATGCCCAGTGCACTGGAAGTAGCACCATGGAGGAGAAGGGACGGCAGAGTCCCTGAGACCCTGGTCCGCGATGGCACAGTGCCTTGGTGCTCAGCAGTGTTGTAAGCTGCTGGCAGGCCTGCCTGGTGATTACAGACTCGAGCCTGACACGGCTGAGTGGATCGGGCTATACACGTCGAAGGTGGATTGCCGTATGGGATCCAAGACATTGCAGCTGTCTCAGTGCCCATGGGAGACTCTCCAGCGCCCGTGAACACGATGGCGCGTCCGCGGTCATGTGCTGGAGCTGGACCCGCACCGGCTCTCACACTCAGGGATGGCTGAGGGCTAGGGCTTTGTCCGCCTCCCCAG